CCTCATACCAGCCGACTCCCCTAGAGCCAGCCCCCCGCCCGCACCTTCCCGGACATGCCCACTACCGGTGTTGCATTTGTTGTCGGCTTTATCAGTAGATGCTTTTTAGGTGGTGTGGTTGTTCATTTTTGCGTCATCGGTTGTTTTGCTTCATTCCACATCAATCCGGTATAGTGTAGTCGTTATAACTCAGCACTCTCCATAATGGTCTGATGTAAACCGGAAGTAAGTCACGTGACGGTCGGAAGTCAAATTCCGAGGGTAACGGTCAGACACTATATTAGTTAATTAGTATTGGTTTGTTGTGGAGATTTTTTCGCGGTTATTTTAGGTTTGAAATGTTATTTAAGGTTGTTGTTTAGTTCAAAGGTTGTTGTATTTTGAGTTTGTGTTGTTTCTATTTGCAATACTCATTTAATTGTCGGTTCGCGACCGAAAGTCAATTTTTTATGTTTAGTGTTTGATATTCACACTACCACAAAATCATCGCGCGTACAGTCGTGGGTAATTTTGCTCGCGACCCAGACTTATACTCGACCTGCCTTTTTTCATATTTTCAAGAAGTTGCATTAGTATCTATCTATCGTTTGTAAAAATAAATTATAACCTTCACCTAAGGTCGACTAAGAAAAAACATCAAGAATTTGATACCCGCGACTCGCGAAAGTCACACCTGGTCCCGACCAGGACTTTGCCTTCCTTCGGTTGATAGGGCGAGAAAAAGGTTGGGCTGTACACAACAGAAGGGCTTTTTATACATAATACCACGAGGATTCGAACCTCGTTTTCTCCCTTGCGGAAGCGTGATAGCCAGTTATTTTTCTTATTTTTTTTATCTATAAGTATGCATTAATATCAGCCTGTAAAAAACGATTGTAGAAGACTCCAAGAGCCGCCTACCACCGCGGAAAAAAAAAAAAAAAACAGATAAGATATCTGCGAGTTGAGGAAGTAAGAACAAACTGCACACCTCTGAGAGAATAATAACAGAGGTAGGGTGCTGAAGCACAATGGGGAATGTGGCCCGTAGCCACAGGGTATCGAACCCTGATCTCTCCTTCTAGGATTATGTTAGCCAAATACACCATAGCCATGGGTGATAAGAGCCAATCACTTGAGAGACGCCTTGATTGAAAACGAAACACATAAAGTTGGGTCAGTAACAACTTTTCGTTTGATGGTGGTGGTTAGTGTATACCCTGCCCCTTGCCTGTCTCAATGTACCGCTGGTGTTGTTCAATCCACGTTCTCAAATCAGCCTCTGCCCAAAAAGCAGGGGCCTCATGTGATAGTCGTGACTCCTTGAAAAGGAGGAACACAGCTCGCAAGAAACGGGCTAGTTCTTTGAACGCAACCAGATTAAGACGTCGAGGGGGGGAGCATATCAGACACGGCTCTGTAGGGGGTAGGTTGTTGGTTGACAAGCCGGTAGACGACTTGGCTGGCGGGGCACTCGCAGTAAGTGTGTTATTCGTTGGCACCCTTGAAGTTGATCCGCGTCGGCATCCATTGTACCTCGCCGTTCGGAATCCAAACTCGTCGACCAGTTCTTCAGATTTTTCCACCTCTGCATTTTTGGTAATTATCTCAAAACCTCAGCTGAGGGAATAATCCGAGAGTTAATGCAGGCTTTTACACTCAACTAGAAGTTCCTGTACTATTTTCATTGGGCTTTTTTATGTTGTATAGTTTGTTCGGCCTTGGAGGAATACCCCGTCGAAGATACTTACACACCGGTATAGGTTTACCGGTAGGTGACCGGGGCATGGGTATTCGCCGGTAGGTTCCGGCGGTGGTGCACTCGGGAGGAGTCCGCGTGAGTATTATATAGAAGCATACGTGATAACTCCGGCAACGGAGTTGTCACGGTGCGGGCAGCTTAAGGTGTTCAACCCTAGGCTGAGCTGAAGTCACCCGCTCGTTGGATGCACGCCCTGCATACACCGTACAGACCCAGCACATACCCGGCGGGGTGTCGAGATTACAACCATATGCATCTAAACACAGTTATCGAAAGGTATCAAGTTTGAAGTAATGTTGGTCTCGACATCCCGCCCTTTTTACGTTTGGCTATTTCGAGTAGTACACGACTTTCACCCAACTTAATACAACATTTTTGTGAGTAGGTACAGTGGTCGAGAGGTTAAGACGCTGGATGCAGGTTCCAGTTCCCTTGTGGAGCGCAGGTTCGAACCCTGTCTGTGCCGAAATTCCTTTTTTTTCACTCGAGGTAATAGCTAACGTTAGTAATCTGTACTCTCCTACATCTTCTTATTCTTGTGTGCTAACTAAATTTTATTACCATGACCCAAAGATATATATAAATCCAGATGCTGATTATTTTTCTGGAGACAATTTCGGCAATTGTTTATGTCAACTTACCATCATGAACAGAACAAAGAAGAAGTGGTGTAGTGTTTTAGCCGGTTGCGGCGTTGGTTAAAAACGCCCCCAACCGGTTAATTTCCAGTTGAACCCGTCCCCAGTCTTTTTCGTAAACGTAGTCACGGATCACGGGGAAGGCATTATCGCCATTGTCGCTACTACCCAACGACGGCTCAGAATTAGGGGCATATAACGACGGCCCAAAGAGCACGTTGCGATAAGTGCTCGTGCGACCGCTTTCCCCCTTAATATCAATGACGAAGCGCGGGTTGTAGTCCATGATCAACTCATTAAGGCGGAGGCGGAACATGCGGAGGGCCGGTGCCTCAATGTGGTCAAAGCGAGCCATGCTTTCCGTCCACGCCTTGATATTGCGGCGGAGACCAACCCCAGCTTCGTTGAGTTTTCCGATACCCTGGTCCAACGCTGCGTAGTGGATCACTGGAGTTATCAGCTCAGGGTGGGCAGCAATGTATCTGTCGATAAACAGCTCAAGTTGGCGGCGGTAATGGGTGAGCTTAGCCGCCCACATCTGAAGATCGTAAGGAATAAACGGCAGTTCCAAAAGCTGAAGCATAATCAACCCCGTGGCGTACACCGCGTGGAAGTGGTTCTTCATCCCCGGATCGATGTGGTGGTCAACAAACGCGTTCCAGTTATTGGCACAGGTGCCACGAACGCCGTCCTCTTTATCAGCAACAAATCGGAGTTCCATAGCCGGGATGTTGGCGGCATTGATGAACGGGAGGTAGTTCTTTTCTTCGTTCATCGCGTACGATAAGTCGGCGGTGCCGTCGTGATTATCCCGGAACTCGTCGTAGAACAGTTTGCCGCTGGCGCCGGTGCCGCGCTTGAGGCCATCGAAGATCGCCAGGTGCAATGCCGGGTGGCCTTTGACCTCCAAATTGCCTCCAGTGACCACGTCGTTGATGTCGACGTAGACGTAGCCCTGTTGCTTGAGCTCTTCCCGTTGGAATTCCACCCACTCCGTCGACCCAGCCAAGTTGTAGTTGGTGGCGTCCCACAGCATAAAGTAGATCAGCCGTGCTGGCGACCACCCCTTTTGCCGTTGGAGCTGGGTTAACGCTCTTACAAGTTCAAGGAGCACCGTCGTGGATGATGCCAGCCCCGTGGTATCGGGTCCGACAGAGTCACGGCCAGCACCAACAATAATGGCCTGGCCGGTGACTTCACGACCCGGGATCGACCCCACCACGTTCCATGCCTTTTGGACGGGGCGGGAGTCGGTGGCCACCGTGAGTTTCACTTCCACTGAGCCATCACCAGAAACAAGGTGATTACCGAAATCGACATTGTTTTTGCCATTAGCTTTTACCTTTTCCAATAAAATCTGTCCATCGGCGTGACTTATGGGAAGCACGGGGATTTTTGGAGTCACCGGCAGTTTATCCCACAGCACTCTCGGCACAAATCCCCGGGGTTCGTCCCGTTTAGCGTTAGACCAGTCCGGGGAAAGCACACTGCCAAACAGCTGGCGAACCCGGCCAACATTGGGACGCAGGATGATACGGTCACGCACTTCGGGATCGTACTCGTCCCCGCCTGCGGGACTGATAAGCACCATCGCCTTGGCACCAAACTTGTGGGCTAACACCACTTTTTCCAGTTCGGGGATGCCTCCCATCGACGCCACCACTACCCGATCCTGAAGCAGCACCTGTTTAGCAGCAAGGGCGTCGAAGTCGTCGGGTGAACCCTGGCCCACGTAGACGATACCGGCGGATATTTCCCCGTCCGACGCCATCCCGTTGGGGACAAACGCCCAGTAAGGCAACACGGGGTCGGTGCCGTTGCCTGGTTCGTATAAAGTAGCCTGCCAGTCGCCGATTTTGAGCGATGATTGGTGGGGCACGGGGTAGTTGATGTGGACCAGCACCTCCTGGATATCGCAATGGTGGAGGCCATTCAGCTTGAACCAGTCGTGGACGTAGCGGGCGGATACGAGATCCTGGCCCGTCCCCGCTAGCCGTGGCTCCTGACTGAGATAGGCGAGGTTTTCCTCCATATTTGACGGGCTGATGTACTTGGCGAAATTCTGCCCCAAAATGTCGACATCGTAGAAATGGCCCGAATAAAACGTCCCGCCGGTAGTGCCGCTGACTCCGTTCTGTTTGAAGGCCAGAGCGTGCGTGATATAGAACACGATCGCCAACACAAACCCCACGTAGAGGAGACGCTTCACCACGAGCGGATTACCCATTTTGAGGATAAACCGCTCGTAGAGCATGTCGACATAGTTGTACCCTTCACGTACGGGGTCCATAAGCCGCTGTAAGGGGACCACCACCAGCGACCGGAGCCCGTAGGTGAATTTCTTGGTGGCGAGCTTCATGCGGAAGAGGAGCAGTTCCCGTGGCCCAGGGGCGTCGTCCTCGATCTCAAACTGCTCCATGCCCACGTCTGCATACATGGGTGGATCCAGTGGCATCAGAGAGCCGCCCTCGTCCGAGGGGAGCCGGGTATACTGGGGCATTGGCTGTGGTCACCGCGTTGTTAGTAAGTGCGCTCAGGGGAAAGTGCGATCTGGGAGATAGTGCGAGGGTCGCACTACCGAGCTAACCGCGACGGCACAGCGAGAAAACAGAAAACACAGCGAGATACTACAAGCGAGATAAACAGCAAGAAACTTTGTATCAAAAATTAGTATCTTGAAACAAATCGACAAAAAGGATATAGAGGCGATAAACGAAGAGGGTTGGAGGAAGAGGGGAATGGTCGATTATGATTCTGGAGTAGAAAGCGTCTGTTTTCCGTGGCTGTGAGGGTAAGCGAGGAGACACTTGTATTTGGTATAGTCGCGTGATCGGAGTTACTTGGCGTTCGCTGGCACTCCGAGTGGCGAAAAAAATGGAAGCCCGATGCGGGGCTCGAACCCGCAGCCTTGAGATTAAGAGTCTCACGCTCTACCGATTGAGCTAACCAGGCCACTACGGGAAATCGAGGATGTAGGTAAGTGATACCAGACTATCACTATAGCTAATTTTCGATTATGAGCGCTGATTTCAACTGCTCACAAAATGGTACTTACTTATTGCGATCACTAGATCCAGCCAGGGTGGGTCAACTTCCCGTCGCAAACGTCACCTCCAACATTTCGGTCATGCTAAGCCTGTTTCAGTGCCTATTTTCTCTGATTTACCCTGCTTCTCCAACCTCCCTGTCTAAAGATACTAATTTCAGGTGATGACGCCAGGTGGCGTTTTGTTACCGGTTATCGCCAACTGGAGACAATCGCTCCTGCACACAGTCGCCGCCCAAAAAAGGTCCCTTGATTACAACCTCACCCGCCACCTAGTACACACCATGTCCTACGGCTACAACAACGGCTACGGCGCGCCTCCGCCCAACCAGTGGGGCGGGCCTCCTCCCCAAGGCGGCTACGGCGGTCCTCCGCCTCAGCAATGGGGCCCTCCCCCTGGCCAGTACGGCCCGCCTCCAGGCCAATACGGTCCCCCCCAGGGCCAATACGGCCCTCCTCAGGGCTACCAGCAACAAGGATACCAGCAACAGGGCTACCAGCAGCCGCGTGGCCAGGGCGGATATAACGGCCAGGGCTACGACGGCCAGGGCGGCCATGGCGCAACAAACCAAGGGTACCCCGGTCCCCAAGGCGGCCAGGGCCCTCAGGGCGACCAAGGGTACCGGCCCCCGGAAGGCACCCAGCACTACGCCAACAACAACATGCTGTTCCAGTACTCGAACTGTCAGGGGCGCAAGAAGGCGTTGCTTGTCGGCATCAACTATATGGGCACGCTGAACGAGTTGCGCGGGTGTATCAACGACGTGAAAAACATGCTGCGGTTCCTCAACGAGCGGTGGGGGTACCTGTGGGACGACATGGTCATTTTAACCGACGACCAGCGCACCCAGAATAAGATCCCCACCAGGGACAATATCTTGCGGGCGATGCAGTGGTTGGTGAAAGACGCGCGCCCCAACGACTCGTTGGTGTTCCACTACTCGGGCCACGGCGGGTTAACCAAGGATTTGGACGGTGACGAGGAGGAAGGGTACGACGAAGTCATCTACCCGTTGGACTTTGAGAGAGCGGGGCACATCGTCGACGACGATATGCACGCAATCATGGTGCACCCGTTGCCTCCGGGGTGCAAATTGACGGCGTTGTTTGACTCGTGCCACTCAGGTACGGCGTTGGACCTCCCATTCGTGTACCTGACCAAAGGTGTAATTAAGGAACCTAACCTCGCCAAAGATTTCGGTAAGGACGCGTTGGGAGCGGCGATGGACTATGCTCGCGGCGATGTTGGGGGCGCTCTCGGCATGGTCGGAGGCATGATTAAGAAGGCAATGAACCGTCAAAGTGACTCCACTCGTCAATCGGTGATCCAGGCTAAGTTCTCTCCCGCCGACGTCGTCCTGATCTCGGGGTGTAAGGACGACCAGACGTCGGCCGACGCTCGGGAAAACGGCCAGCTGACGGGGGCGATGTCGTGGTCGTTCATCACCACGTTGCAGCAACAGCCCAACCAGCTGTACTTGCTGTTGTTGAACAACATGCGGACGTTGCTCCAGGCGAAGTACTCGCAGAAGCCCCAGCTCAGTTGCTCGCACCCGCAAGACATGAACATGCAGTTCATTATGTGACTTCCTCCTATATAATATACTTTTGATATTTTCGTTTTGTCCACTTAGTAAGCTGGGGTTGATCTCGATGACGTCATCGCAGATCACCTTTTTTCGCGACCCCCCCATCTAAAAGCGTGTCACCAACAATCGACGTGGCCCCCCATATACGAGCCAAAAGAATACTACTAATACGTATAAAATTTATAGAGAAAGTAGCTTTTTCTGTAATTTTTTTTATCTTGGCATTTGATTCTATTTTTAGCCACTGGTTTACCTTCCCTCGTAGTGTCCCCACCCTTCCCTAAGTCGCACTGCCTACATCAGCTATAGCCCGCTAGCCACTGCCATACACCACTCCCCCTAACTCGCCCCCAACCACTCCTCAACCACGATGGCCGAGCAGTTTGGACGGGCCAATTCGACCCGGTGGAACGCCGAGGTGCCTGACTACGACGACTGGGGCCACGAGTACGACGACGAGGTCCAGCAGCTCGCCGATGTCGCCGAGGACCTCGCCGAGGACCACGACGAGACCGCTAGCGAACCGGAACCAGAGGAAAATCAACCTCATCTGAAACAAGCACATCATGACAACCCGCCGCCGTTGAATCCGTTGGTATTATCGATCGATCAGCCCAGTGACGATGACGATTCCGACATCGACGATACGCCCACCAACCACCCGCTGCCGCCTCAAACTAAGCAAACACGACCACCGGCGCCACCCACCATCTCCATTAGTGGCCCTGAAGAGGCGCCGCCGCTGAAACCCGTGCCGCCGCCACCGCCTCCGATGCCGAAAGCGGAAGTCGTCCAACCACCAACTACCCCACCCTCAAAGCCGGTGGTGCCTAAAGTTCAACCTGTACCGGTTGTACCGGCGGGAGAAGAAGCTGATGAGGAGGATAGCTACGATAGTGACGACCTGATCCAGGTGGAACACACGTTGAACGTTGCCAGTCCCAATAAGCGTAAGAGTCTTTTGATTGACCCTAATAAAGTGAATGAGGAGTTCCTTAATGATCCTCCGGATAGTCCCACTCAGAAACGCAAGTCGACAAGGAAGAAACCGGCACTGGCGGCACCGATGGCACCGCCTCCCATCCCGATGTTTGTCATTAACCACGACTACGATAAGGACTTGCCTACCGATGACAGCTGGGGTACGCCTCGGGAAACACCCCCAGCAGAAGATACTAAGCATCCGGTGCCAATTGCTGAAGAGCCAGTCCCAGAAGAACCAAATGAACCAGCTTACGATGAGCCAGCCTATAAGGAGCCAGCTTATGAGGAGCCAGCTTATGAGAAACAAACTTATGAGGAGCCGACTTATGAGGAGCCAGCATATAAGGAACCAGCTTACACAGAACCTGTGTATGAGGAACCAGCTTATACGGAACCCGTCACCAAACAAGTGGATATCCCTGCTCCGCCTCCTCCAGTGGTGGCAGAGGAACCGGTGAACCGCAAACTGACCAAGCGTAAGGCTCCCATTGGTCCCAAGCCCCTCGAACCAGAAATCACCAGTTACGATCACCACCAAGAACCAGAAGCTTCTACTGCCTCGAATGCTGCTACTCCTGCTCCCCTCGTCCTCTCGATTGACAACGAAGTACTGGACTCGCTGGACGACAACTGGGGCCACCAAACCGAGGACGAATGGGGCCACAACTCTGACTCGTCTTCTGAAGGTGAAATTGATGAACCCACACCCTACCGGGCACGCAGTGATACTGACTCGGATAATGACCCCACGCCCGACTTGAACATCACCAAACTGAGCCTGAACCATACCACCATGGCGTCGCCTCGCCAACCGGTGGACACCACCATGCTCGACGACCTCATGCACGATATCGAGAACGTATCCTACGGCGAGCCTGATGTCGCTACTCCTACTGTGGCTACGCCTCAACAAGAAGAACCGCCCCGCAAACCGCTGGGGGCTAAGGAGCTTCCTGAGATCGATACCGGCGACTTCTCGCTGTCGTTTGCCCGCTATATGGACCAGGAATGGCTGGAAAACCCGATCACTCCTTTATCGCCAGCGCAGCTGATACTGATGCACCAGGACTTTGTCCGTAGCGTCAGTGACCGCCGGCTGCTGGTGCGCAAACCGCCTTCTAATCCCAGAGCTGCGTTGGTGCTGATGGACTATTCCCTGATTGCCGATGCTGTTAGCAACTATATGGACGACGATCTGAAGACGATAGACCTGGTCAAACGTTCAGAACGAGTTCGTGACGATATCCTGATGGCTGAGGAAGCGCTGGTGATGCTGCTGGAGGCGTCATTTACTAAGAACGATGATCGTAATGGCATTCCTCCACCTCCGCCTCCTAAGATCGATATCGATATGCTGAGTCGGAGATCGCTGGCGCAAACTCTTGGTGGGTTCGGTCAATGGAAGCCGAATACGCTGACGTTCCGCGACCAGTTTATCAACGAACAGGCGGATCTGGACACTGAGAGCAACACTATCATTGAAAGCAACTACCTGAAGTTCACTCAGCCGCGGCTGCGGGTGGTGCTGGAGGTGCCGCTGTTACCGGAAACTATCGACGTGGCCATGCCTCGGATTGACGAAGACGAGGATGCTAATTTGAGCAGTGACGATAGCCGTCGCATTCTGATGGACACTGTAGGGTCGTCAGTGCTTGTGCCGCCTACTTCGTCGAAGCCGGTATTCCATGAAGAGAAGCTTACGCCTAACCCGCTGATGGAAGAAGTACACGATAAGGACGCCAAACCGGTGAAGCAGCGCTACCTGAGCTTGCTTGATGGCATTGAAGATAAGCCTAAGGTCCCCGAAAAGCAGCGCTATCTGTCCCTTTTGGCCGGCGTCAGTGGTGGTGACGGTCGCGATCGTCTGGTGCTGAACGCTACGGATAAGCTGGTGGACACTATTGTCGCCACTCCCCCATCCAACGACCCTTTGTCAACGCTTCAAGAACTGGAGCCCACGGCTGACACCTCCATTGAAGACGAAGATGACGACAAGGACGAAACCAATGACGATAGTGGTAACAACTTGACCCAAAGTGTATCTAAACCGTCGTCGCTTGCGCTGCTTTCTCAACCCCAACAACAAGAGCCCGCCACGCTGGTGGATCCGGCAACCGTGAAGTTCACGCCCAAACGGTACCCGGTGCTGGACTGGAAACAGATCATGCTGACGGGACAACCGGTGGACAAGATTGCCAACCTCAAGTCGGCCATCGAGGCGGAATGCAACTACGACACGGGGCTCCACATGTGGCTTGAAGTCGTGGTCAAACAGCAGAAGCAAGAGCCGCAAATGACCAACGGGCGCATTGCCACTGAGGCCTACCAGAACGCGACCCATCTGGATATTCGCCGCCACAACTCCCTCAACACTAAGCAAATTGTTGGCGACGTCAAGGACAGTTTGGTCAACGCGGCTCCGGCAGCGAGAAGTTTCGGCAAGAAGTTCTTCAACAAGAGTAAGTCGTTGATGAAGAAGGCCAACTAGGAGATTAGTTATGATTTCAATGAATTTTACGGTAATGACGGCTTTGGGATATTGTAGTTTGAATAGTGTTGTGACAGTTGTAAAGGCGGAGTCTAAAAGATCACAAACATCAACGGAACCGTTCCTATTTACTGATCGCAAACAAAGGGCATACGGCCATTTTTGGGTGTGACTGATGATGGGCAGCAAAGTAAGACTCAAAGAGACCCCATTTGGAAGGGAACTCGTGTGAATAAGCACCAATACGATGGCATAGATATCATCTATACGCTGTAGCTTCGGTTTCTGGGAGTCGCACTATTTCGCTTAGCCCGCCATGGGAAATAATTCCCCAATCTTATAACCATGAACAGGTACGATCCACGTCAATGGCTCGGTGACTATCCAGCAGAGATTCTTCGAGAATTATTCACTGAGATTGGAATCACCTCGTGTTGTCACTTGTACATTAAGATGTCACCAGGAAACTTCCGCAATGCCTTGGAAATCTACCTTCAAACTCATGTGATCAACGTGACGGCTGAAGAGGTTATCGAAGGCGACCTCAATGTGATTGATTTCTACACCTATGGCCAGCTACACCTTTGGTGTTACATTAAGGTCAAGACTCCGGTGGGGCTTTTTGATATGACTAATTGGCACCTTTCGAAAGTTAATTGTCAGCTGGTATGGCTAAAGTGTACCTGAGAGAGTCACCACACTCATACGTTGATGTCAGTAATCTCGCAAGAAACGTCAGAGCTTTGACTGTTGCTGGGAAGATCACGATTGACCCCACAAAAATTCCTCGCTCTATACGACACTTATTCTTATTACAGTGCTCGTTACGGAATACTCAAAACTTTAAACACTTGGTGAAACTTAAGGAGTTTGAAAGTACCTGTGACCACGACGGAACATTTGAGTTGCCTCGCCTGGTCATAACGCTCAAATTGTACGGAGAACCGCATTTGTTCAACATGTCATCACTTCCAAACATAGAACATATTGTGTTTGATGACTACACAAACATCATCAGAACTGCTTGGGCACGGATCGAATCCTTTGATCTTCCATTCCTTCCCTCCCATGAACGTTTTGACTGTTTACGAGAAGCTAAGTTAAAGAAGTACAATAGCTTTAGAGACATCATATGTCCTGAACTTGAAAGCGTTGAGTTCCTGGCCCATAAGACTAGCCAAGACGTTCTAGAATCTGACTCCGAAGAAGATGAACTGGACACTGATTTCGAGCAACATTATGATATTCTTAGCATATTCACTCATGGACAATTAGCCAATTTGAGAATACTTAAGGCGAGTTACTGTATCATTGATAACGTGGCATTACTTCCCCAATTGAGAGTATTACATTGCTCGATGGACAAATCGCTCACTGGCTGTCAACCCTTACCGCTCAACTTGATTGAATTAAAGATAATTCTGGAGCATTCAGTTGAAGGAATCCCTCCGCAACTTCAGGTGTTTGGTTTTGAAAGTTTGAATTATGATGGCAACTCTGATTGTTTCGTTAGAGCCAAGTCGGATACAGTCAGAAAAATGCGTCTTTGCTGTGTGACAGACGTAAGCATTGACTGTCCTAGACTTACGTCTTTGAAATTGGAGAGGTGCTGTATCGCTTCTATGCTCAATGCTCCCAATTTGGTGAGGTTACGGTCTAGTGGAATCTTTATTCCAGTGGAGGCATTTCCTCGACTAAACTATCTCATCATGTACGATTTGAACTCGTGGCAGGACGTTGTAATCAAGCGCCACTTAAAGGCCATCCACTTGATGTGGTCGCAATTGGGCCAAGTACAAATATCTGCTGACGACGTACAACTTATAATCTGTGAGTTTTGCAGAAGGGCGGGTGCCCCTTAAATTATGGCCAAAAGCTTCTATTCGGAATCCACATTGGACGATATGAGAGGCATTACTTGTCAGGAGTTCAATTATGATGGATGGCTTTGTTTTGAACAAATCAAGCGTATTTTTCCACTGGTGGAAAAGTTTTCCATAGCATTATTTGGCAATGCATCCACAAATAACCATGACAAGTGGTATGACACTTTGAGTCTTGGAGACTTTAAATCACTCAAATCTGTTACCATAAAGAAAATCAATTTTTCTGGACAATTTGGAAATGGAATCAAATTACCTGCTGCGGTGAGACAAGTTCGTTTGGGTCGTGATATCGCGTGGGGCCAAAATGCCGCTATACACTATGATGAAGGCTCTCAACTCGAGCATGTTGAGGTTGTCGGTACTGCAACAATGGCACAAGTGGGGATCAGCCGCATTTTGCCGCCATCATTATATTTTCCGCAAAGGATCCTGAATTTTCAGCCTCATTTGTTGAGACAACACGGGACTGGGTTGTTGTTGTTCTTTTTATGTGAATAGGGACTAATTGAAGACAATATACAAAGTGACGCATGATGTTGTTTCATCCTGAAGTTAATGTCAGTATCACCACCACCTCTTAATTTGACATTTTTAGGTGTTACAAGCGTGGAAATGTTGCCCATCACTTATAGTTGCCACAGCACAAACACTTCCACTTTGAAGCGCGTCAAGAATTATCTAAAAACAAGCAACGAAAGGTACTCTACATTCAGGTACTTTAACTTATGATGACGAAATTTCCCTATGTAGATTTGGGTCACTTCCGCAACGTGTCTATGGCAATGCTGTGGGCACGACTGGTCACAGTATAGTCCTTTCGCGAGATTATACCACCGTCACCACTATCGCCAGATTTGTTTATGTTCACTAAATTCTAGGTTAGACAGAGAAAACCGTCTTGTCTGCTCACTTTTGTCGTACGATTTTGAGGTTTGCTCTGGAGCTGTCTGAGTACCCCTCACTACACCCGCCAGTAGTGGCAATTTTAGGAGTGATCCAGTCTCGTGCGTATAGTGCATTTGAAGAGAAATTAGGCTTTACTAATCTCCCCCCACCTTTAATCATCCCTCAAATTTGCAAGGGACTTGGTCTGTGTGTAAGATGAGTGGTCTTTCCGAATACAAGTACCAGCTGGAATCGTCTTCTGGTTCTGAATACCGCCTGGACTCCCTGCTGGAACCCTATGATTCCAAAGATGAAAACTTTTATTCTGATGATGAGGAATTGGAGGGGCTTGGGTTTACAAGCGACTACTTCTTGCAATTGATGGCTCTGAGCGAGGCGAAGCATTATGTGAAGGTACTGGCGTGTGAAGTTTTGACAGACTACCTCTTCTTTGCCAACCCCCCCCCGCTGAAAGCTTACTGAAATTTACTGATTGGGTGATCCATGAGCTTCGGACGAACACAAGTCGTGAGCTTACCACTAATTCATTGCGCATGGTTGAGGCAATTATGGGAAGAAACTCGTTTGTTACTTTGAAAAATACTCAGCGTCATGAACTCTTTCTTTCTATTATCGCTCAAAAAAACCCTGCCACCCATAGCGAAGCCATATCCCAATTGACGTATTTCTGGGGTCATCATCCAAATGATATCATACGTTTTGTGAAGAGTCAATCAAAAAAACCCAACAATTGTATCCTTGACGAAGCAGTACTTGCAATGATAGACTTTCACCATCCTCGACTTAGCTACAGCAAATATCGCTGCACCCGGTTGTCACTCGCTTGTGTTGAAGGTGCACCATCAAGTGCCGTAACGTGGTTACAGGCACGAAAGATACATACTCGGCATTACGACGAGATATATGGGGTGTTGACTTCTGTTGATGTTATGAAGTTGACGATGCCAAGTGATGATGAGGACGATGAGGCTTCCATTGAAGTATCTGCGAACGAGACTTCTTCCGTCAACCTTTCCGATTCTCCGGTGAATACTGTGGAAGATCCCGTTGAAGTCTCCTCGTGTGATGAATCAAGTATCCCTTCTGACCAACACGGCCTAACTACGGCAAAAAAGAGACGGACCTCGTCGCTGGACGATGAAGACTACCCTGCTCAGCCCCAAACCAAGCGTTCTATCATAAACGTTACACATGCTATTCCAAAGATGTTTCATTTTGAAAATTGCCCTGTGACTATCAACATCCTTAGAGGTAGCCAGCAATCTGACGATGAGGAACTGGATGCGGAAGAAGCGTGACTTGTTGCTATTGAGGCCACTGAATCATTGAATCATTGCGGTTGATTTTCACCTGTAACGTCTCAATCCATAACAACTGGTAAATACCGGCGCACTCCATATTTATCCTCATTTAGGTTTATATAAATTTGTTCTGCATTATCCCATTAGCATAACACAAAAACCATTGCTCTCCGAATTAGCACCAAACAGAATTGGTCGGTATAACTAAAGGCTGGCCGGTAAATTTAAAGTCTGTTGAAAGTTATGATTTCAAAGGTTGTGATCACAAACAGCGCAAGTCGTGAGTCATTGTGAGCCTGATCAAGCTCCCTCGTTGCCACAGGAATTATATACAAAAAGTGGAGAATTCAAGTGGTGGTACTCGCCATTGATTAAACGAGTTTTAGTAAATACCAATTCAACCAACTCATAGGGGATCATTAGTGAGATCAGGGACTTGTGATTTATTGCCTCAAAAATTTCATCAAACCATGCAATCAATCATATGACTTAGTCTCTTGAATGCATAATCTGTGTGGGGATCGTGCATGAAAGATAAGCACCACTAGTGAAAACAAATAACCTCGTCCTGGTAAAACTCAAGGCAAAAGTCCTTGAATTCAACAGGAAGTGAGCTCTTTAACTGAGATGAAAGATAGACCGTTGCATTTTGCTTTTGTCACGCGTAAGTTTGGGCTTAAGGGGGCATTCGTCCATTAGGTTATCTGATTATGCAGATGCATGCACCATCATCACCTGTGATTGCATCGAAAAGACTACGAGGCCAAAAGCGAGAAGAACTGGATGCATCAGGTATGTACGCTTACGATTAGGCTTGACTTACGGTATTTTTAAAAACAAAACCAATGCAATCTTCTAGTTTATATGTTACGATTTCCTGCTTGTTGTTTGACTCTCTGTGTATGTCGTGCTATGGGCATGGCCAGCGAGTTGTGCAATTCCTTGTGAAGCAGTGGAGCGTGATTATGATGTAAAATCATATGCAAAGTTGATGTTTTCCCCAGTCCCATGATTTGTCATGAAATGAAATTGATACCCAGAGGGAAGGTCCATCCAATTTTGTCACGTTCACGGCATTGGTATAATTAGTTGGCTTATCGCCGCCAAATTTAATGACAACGTCCGCATAAAACTGCCATTCGTGGAACTGGTGCCATTTACGGAAACCCAATATCTCCAGCAACTGAGACAAGCGGTACACCCCATTTCCAATCCCAGGGTCCTTGGTATGAGGGTTAGCGAATGTAAGCAACTACGGCAGCCTTGCCCCCAAAAGCCCAAACCACTAACTAAACCCGTTCCTTCCTCTTTAAAGATGGGACCCCTTATATCATATGCTTCCCATAAAACCTACTTGAAATGGCACGATTTACCATGGAATGACCGAAACCACTAGTTTGTCATAAATATATAATTACGGTGAATTTTGTAGATTAATACGAATTGTTTTAGTTGTGACGACGATCTGCTCTCTACTACCCTGATCGTCCCGCCAACGGCTGCGGGTGCCGAGTACACAGCCAGCGTTGTTCGTCTCCACCATCGCCTTGACAACCTATACCGCAGCTATTCTCGCAGCATCCAGCAGCATCCAGCAGCGACAATAAAAATAATATGAATCGGAATACGGGTTCCTGCTGGCCTCATTGTTTGTTGCCCACACGATTTCCCTGCGGCAACCCCCGGCGGTTGTCCTGCCAACGGTATAGGTCAGGGTCCGGCGGTGATCGCATGCTGGATCCGGCAGTGATCTTATCAGCATGCGATCGTGCGTTGGCACAGCCCCTCCATTGGAAAGGGAATAACGTGGTGTGCTATGAGCAAGATATGGGGAAGATAAATAATCATCAAGAATAGAGAGTTGTTAGTTTGTCAAAGTATTAATTACCCTTGGATACGGCTACTGTCGCTTGATTGGCTTGAGATTAATTTGCGTGGTTGCGACGACGACGGAGTGGAAGTCGCGAAACCAGCCCCCTACCGCGGGCACGACATTCCTCTACGACCGTATTCTTTTTTTAGACTTTTTAGACGGACAGGACATGGTGTATGTCGGGTGACGAGGCAGGTGGTGGAGAGCCCGTTGCAAATAAGCTTTTACCGGTTGAACTTATCCCCGATTTGGTAGTTAAGTCGTGTGAGATTCAAATTGTGCGTTTGGTACGTGCGGTTACCGAAGCTCGCGATTTTCGACAGATTTTTGATTTTTGATCCCATTATTTCGCACCGTTAGAGCAGGGTGTAAGCGGGACTAATTCAAGCCCACTCCGACCACCCGCTGTAAACTGGCAAAATGCCACATCGATAATCGCTAACATAGAGAGTTGGCGTCTACTATGAGTTTACCTGAAGTCTACTTAGATATTTCACCTAGAAAGCACTATCCTGTTTTCATGTGGTCAGGGTTGTAACCCTAATCACGTGTCAATTTCCCATCGTGCGCACCGCGCCCGGCGCGCACTCGCTAACAAAAGTGAAAAGTGAAAATTTCTCGCCCTCTCCAAACTAACCATGGTTAACGCTATCTTGTCCAAGAAGAGAAAGCTTGTCGCTGACGGTGTCTTCTACGCCGAATTGAACGAATTCTTCGCCCGTGAATTGGCCGAACAAGGGTACGCCGGTGTTGAAGTCAGAAAGACCCCCACCAAGCTCGAAGTCATCGTCAAGGCCTCGAACACTCAAGGTGTTTTGGGTGAACAAGGTCGCCGCATCCACGAGTTGACCTCGCTCATCGTCAAGAGATTCAAGTTGCAACCCGAAGGCATTGTCATCTACGCCGAAAGAGTTGAAGAAAGAGGTCTCTCCGCCGCCGTGCAAGCCGAAGCTTTGAAGGCTAAGTTGTTGAACGGTTTGCCCATCAGAAGAGCCGCCTACGGTGTGCTCAGATTCGCCATGGGTGCCGGTGCCAAGGGTGTCGAAGTCGTCATCTCGGGTAAGTTGAGAGCCGCCAGAGCCAAGTCGCAAAAGTACATGGACGGGTTCATGATCCACTCGGGTCAACCCACCCGCGACTTCATCGACATTGCCATCAGACACGTGTTGATGAGACAAGGTGTGTTGGGGATCAAGGTCAAGATCATGAAGGACCCCGCCACCAACCGTGTCGGCCCCAAGGCGTTGCCCGATGCCGTCAAGATCTCCGAAGCCAAGGACGAAGACGAAGTCATCCCCGCCCCCACCGTCAAGGTCTACAACCAACCCGAAGCCGCTCAAGAAGCTTAGGTGTGGTCGTTGTATAATTAATAAACCGATTGTAAACAAGCAAACTGGACTGTAAACAGCTGTAAACATCTAAACTAAACCAGAAAGGTACGATTAAGCATCACCATGTAGTCTTTTCATATAGGTTGGAGAATATGCTCAAAAGAACGGGATTTAGCGAGTGACCAGTAGGCGAACCGTTGATTGCTAGAATCAATAAAATTACAGATTACGGGTATTGTTGTTGCTAGAACCAATTTATGACTATTCAATAAATCGGTGGTTGTCTAATAGCCACGGTTTAAGTCATTGCCCATTAGTCGAAGCGTTGTTCCTGGAACCAAACCACGACTATCAATAAAATTACAGGTATTGTTGTTGCTAGATGAAGTATAGTCACTGGCTTTACGCGGTATATGAATGGCAGCATCCTCTAATAAGCATCACAGTGTAATTTTGGCTCGAATCTTCGCTTGAAGACTCCAATCAATCAAGCTTCTAATCAGAGGCAGATCAAAACTCTTTATGCCCAGAACCATCACCTTTCGCCTAATAACAAATACCTTCGATGGCAAACCATGGGCAATTCTAATCACACTTCCAACATCAGTTCATATCAAAGAAAACAATCATCAAAACAATCGTTAACTTAGTCAAATGGCATTATTCATTTTGTGTGTCTCCTTACACAAACGACACGTCCATTGTTGTCCCTTACAGGCGCGCTTAGCCCGTGGCGCGTTAAGTGATTGATCCGTGGTTCCCAACACCGTGTCCAATATAGCCAGTCCCCACGATGATTCCACGGCTTCTAACGCCCAAACGGGTGATACTACTCGTGGTCGTGGTTCCCTTGATCTGGCTAGCGGCCGTATATTACCGCCCTGCGCCCGCTATCGTCCATTTATTAGGGGATACCAAATACCCCGATCACCCCGTCTACCGGCGCTGGAAGTACCGCAACACGCAAAACTTCACTACCATCGGAGCCAACGCCCTCTGCGGCGAGTATTTCCACGCGTTGGGCCCGTCGTACGCCCCACAACCGCCGCCAGCAGCCGTGGACTTCTTGGTCTACGACCGCGACCGTTACCTCTGGGAACACATCAAAAACCACAAAATGGAGCACGGCGTCACTGGAAATTACAAACAGGCGATTGCTGATGGCTACGCTAAGCACGCTAAGGTGGTGGCGGACGCAGAACTGGAGATGGTGGCCTCCTTCAGTCATATGAGAGTGTGGGGTCATTGTCTGCTTTATACGAAACTTGAGGACGTCAATCACGTGGTTAAATACGGCAAGGTCGGTCGCTATGACCACAAGTTGTTTCCCTGGCTCACCCAGTTGTCTCCCTTGTTTAACCAGCTGTATGAGTTACCAATAACCGATGGAAATAAACCGAAAATGCTGACTCAGGACGAAGGGTGGGTGCAACACTATTTGCGGCGACTGAACGGCCGTGGCGTGGTGGTTTACGCTAATAATGACACCGCAGCATCAGTGCCGTCTTTGATTACAGTATTGAGGCTCCACCAAAATGAGCTCCCTATCCAGATTGTGAGCATGGGACCGATAAATTTAGACTACGAGGCAATTGAACAAGTGGCCCAGGGACCGTTTGAACCGCCCAAGTCTTTTTCTCGTTACTTAAAAGTGGAAAACCTACGCAAACCCGAACTGTTCCTCCCACAGTCAATCACCTACGTTGACGTCGCTCCTGCCGTCCACAACGTTTCCCACGACCTGCTTAGAGAGCTAGCAGCGATATTTACTCTGTTTGAGGAGTATGTGCTCCTCTCTCCCCTTGCTATCCCCACTGTCCCCCCTTCCTCTTTCTTCGACATTGAAGGATACTCCGACAAAGGAATGCATTTATACCACCAACCCAACTACTTAGAGGGTTCCAACTCCCCTCAAACGGGAAGGGAAGAAGTGGAACGGCTCCTCCACCGTTTAACTCCTTCAGATATCGATCTGGTGGTATTTGGCTTTGACCCGTCGGAGTTCCCTACGACAAAGCTTGACGACACCGTGGCTGTGCTCAATAAGAACAAAGTGCTTTCCGGATTGCTTATACTGGTAAACTTGAGGCGTCACCCGCTTGTTAAGGCCGTGGACATTGACCTATTCTGGCTTGGGCAACACATCCTGGGAGTACCCATTCAGATTAATGTGCACCCTGCGGTTGCTGCTGGTGTCGTCAGCGACGATTCCCATAAGACTAAGGACGCCGCGATGGCGGAGGAGCTCTGTCTGCTGCTGTGGGGCCAGTTGTCGCGCCAGGACCACCCGGAGTTATTCTATTTAACGGGCCACCAGATGGTCAATTGGCACCGCCAGCCGCTGTTTGCCACTCAGATAAAGCAGAGGGTGGGCCAGCTGGAGCCGATGGCCGTGGAAGTGCTCTTAAAGCCGCCAACTGTCAATAAGCCGGTACCGGTAAAGGAAGAACACACCGAGCCTAACCGGCCGTGGATCAAACAAAACCAGGCTGAAGGTCAACCGTACGCCTACTGGTGTGCCTATTCCATACTTGGCTCGCCTGCCGAGGACCACCGGGGCGTGGTTATCCTGATCTCGCCGATTAAAAAAGCCCGCTACCGCTACTTGCTCGACGCCTACGGAGACGTGGGAAATGAGGCCAAATAAGCTTTTGGCAACTATAGCCGGGGGAGGGCACCGGTAACCATCTCGCCTTTCGGCTAAACTTTCGCCATCTACCGTGTTTACATTATCTAACGGCATGGACCCCAATTGTCCCGTATCCATCGACGTACCCTCTCAGGAATGCGTTTGAGTCTTTGCATCAACGGTGAGCTTAATTTTTGGCCAACTCCGCCTCGTTTGCTGTCCCTTCATACTGGCCTCATATTGGTTGCAGCGCTACCATCAGACACTGACTACCAAAGGAAATAACCAATGCCAAGGACGACCATGGCCTCATACTACACCAAATATCGTACCACTGCATCCTGATAAACCACCAGCAGCGGCTATTTCCTTGCCATTTGCCGGAATCTCGTCGTGTGGTCCAACGTCGAGCGCGATGGCGTCATCGCCTCACATACCCTCACATATCCTCACATACCCCGTCAAGCGCCAACGGCGAATGGACCCCGACTCAGCGGCCATGCCCGCTGCACGTTGATAAACAAATAACAGAAAAATGTCGCTCCGCTGACGACGCCGAGGCCGTGAATGGTAAGGCCGTGAAAAATTACACGTAAGCTTAGCCATCCACTAGTTGTTGTAAGCAAACAAAATTGGCTTTAAACATTAAATTTAATAAATCATAATCACGACTAAATAGTCCCTTTGCTAGTGGCTGGGGTTTCTCTCGTCCGACTGGCTCGGGTGCGGGCGGGGGCGAGCGTTAGCGCCCGCATCGCTGGCACTGCCTATAGCTTATGCAAGGGTCTCCTGGGGAGACACCCTTTGACGCGGGGCGGGGTGGTGCATGCGTTGTGCGTTAATGCAAGGCAACCGCCCGCGAAAAATTGCCTTGTTTGCGTCGACCAAACAATAACCACAATAGGGGGCAAAATATAACGGGGGTGCGCCTAAGGCGCCAGACCGCGCCGCCGATGATCTTGCACGCCGCCCACACCCTGCCCCCCGCGCCTTGCCGGCGCCCTGAACAATTGATTCCTGCCATTTAAACTTCTGCTAACAAAGAAAGGGGAGAAACAGGGTTAAGGTTGGGGTCCTTTTTTTTTTCTGTAGGGCAAATGGGACAATAGGATAAGGTTTGACGTAACAATAGGTTTTAGGGTTATTGTCGGGGGTGTCGGCAGTGTCGGCAACGGTGTCGGCAACGGTGACGACAACGGCGGCGCGCCCGCCAGGGTAGCCCGATATTTAGCCCAATCGGGACAAATGCCAGAAAAACAACTGAAGAATTTTACTGGTAAGTGTCTTGTCTAAGTCGTGTTGTATTTGGTTTCATCTTTCAAGGCTACCATGACTTATAATTGTCTATTTGTACAAGCATTTAGGCTATACTTTTGAGAGGAAGTCATGCGTCAGAAGTCAGAAGCCAGAGTGTGTCAATCCGTCACCAATGTTATTCTTAGTCGTTTACCAACCTAAACTAGCTTTACTTTTTACGATACATCACTAACAATAGTCATATTATCTAAAATTGGTAATGGTGCCAGCGATACTTAATCAGTATTAGCAGGTGTTTGTATCACTCATATGATGATATTGATTACTATGAAACGCTTAAATGAAATGTGTTCACTTTCGTGATGTTATTTTGACATTTCGAGGACAAACTCGAACGTCAGCACGGCAAGACTCAACCCAATAATGATAATAAGCATCCACGCTACCCGATTAGTATTCTTTTCGTTGATCAGGTCGGTGACGATATCGGCAAACTCAAGGAAAACACGGCATCGATCATTAATCACTTGTACTCTCTGATCGATTTCAAGGTAGTCCCTTACCGCGGTGTATAACGGATGAAGCGCGGGCTCTAAATCCCAAAAGAAGTCCGGGGTATCGAGGATAGAACTCGAGAGGTTGACGTCAACCTTTAATTTAAAGATCTTACCCAGTTTCTTAAGCAATTGAGTCCGTTTAAGCCCCAAACGACCGGTGAGGGCAAGCTTTTTCGGGAGCTTAGAGATCAGCTGGAGACCGTTGACCACTCTCAGCTCAAACAAACAGAGCTTGGTCAGCTGGGCAATGGCGTGGGACATCGTGAGCTTGATTAAATGGTCGGCCAGCCGTAAGGTGATCATATCATTATAGATTCGCGGACGGTGAATCAGAGGGTCGTAATCGAAATGGAACTCCTCCGTTTCAATATCCTGTTCGTCGATTGGGTTTATGAGCATGGTATCGTCGTCGGCGAACGCCAAATCGGCCAAAATATTCTTTTCGTGGGTTTCACTGAAATTCCAAAAGACGACGATACCGTAAGCGAAAACAAACATCTCGCCGTGGTGGCGGGTGGAGGAGGCCGGCTCCTCCACCTGGGGCAGCTGTGGTGTCGCCACGGACGGTACTGGGGGTACTGAAACCTCAGTATTTGCTTTTTTAGTGGTAGTGGAAGGGATGGCTTCCTGGGACGGGGCCAGGCCCAGAGGACTAGGGGTTTGTTCCTGAGGCTCTGTGAGGTTTGGTGGGGCAAAGAATTGAGGTTCCAGAGGATCAAACGGGGCGCTGGTATCGTTTAAACCTGGGTCCATCAGGTAGTTACCGGCATCCTCCGGCGTCTCCACCCCCAGATAGTACTCATATAAATGGTTTGTTTGCTCCGTCTTGGTAATGAGTTTCTCCATGTGTCTCAATTTAGGAAGGAGCTTAGCCAGATTATTCGATTTCACCCGATAACCGTCTGTACCCGGTAATAATGGAAGAGTATAGGGGACGTATAGCGCCTCCTCGTAGAGTCTTGGTCTCACGCCGTGGTGCTGTTTCAAAAATTTGGATACGGCTAACAAATTAAACTCTTCACACATGAAATACGCCGTTGTCCGTGAGAATTCGTGGGCTCTTTCTTCCTTCAGCATGAGTTCTGCCCTCAGTCTATCGATTTCCTGGACCATTGGCGGCAGCGTCAGGTCGGCTCTCCTTTTGGGAGTGGCTGTGATTGCCTGGGACAGCTCCCCGAGCTCCAGAATCAGGTGTTCTTCATCACTAGAACTCGAGGCGTCTTCGGGGATAAGTACCAATTTCTGCGATGTTTTCAGCGTTCTTTGCGGCAACAGCAGCAGCAATTTAGGAATACTTCTTATGTTTCGCTTCGCCAGCGGCTGCAGCGCCGGCAACGGGAGTTTTCCCCGCGCAATGCGTTTGGTCAGCGCGAGCAACAGCGGGAGCCGCCGCTGGCCCAGCGGGATATCCAGCGAGTTTACAAGGAGTTTATCGACAGATATATCAGTATAGCGATTCTTGATCGAGCCAAACCGGCGGTGGAGGGCTCCCTCGTGTTCCAGTTGCGAGAATAAGGGAGGGGCGTGGTGCGCCGATTGCGGGCCCGCCAGCGACGAATGAGCCTCGGGAGAGGTTTCTCGGCCGTCGCTATGACTGTTGCCACTATTATCTGTATGATTCTGATGGTTTTTAGGGGGTTTTTGCCTCAGTTGAGCCTCGCGCTGTTGTTGTTGCTTGCGGAAATTGTGGCCGGCGAAGGGAGCTCGCGCACCTTTGATGGCGTGCTGGCGGGAGTCGGTGACGAGGATCAGCGGCAGCCGTTTTGCTGTTGGCTTGTGAGGGCCGTGGCCGCCAATGGGTGGCGGGGACGTCTCGCCCATATGGATAGTACACTAACAATGCGAAAACGTGCGCACAATAATGGCAATTGGTAGTTGAAACACACTATAAAAGAACCAAACGTGGGAAAAATTTATCAAACACGACAAAAAGGTACCAAACATGGTTGAAACGTGGTCTAAGTTCATAGAGTAAATACAGATCATCTTTCCTTTAAGAATATATTGGAAGTGTTGGCATTGGAATCGAACTGGGGCTGATGAGCGGGGGTGGCTTGTACGGTGCGATCCATGAGATTATTGAGATTATCGACAATAACCGAAAATTAAATGTAACATAGATTGAGCCGAAACAAACAATGAAACCAAACAATTAAATTATTTAGGGATCAACCCACAACTAATTGATAATGGCAAAGTCACCTTACTACTTGAGGTAAAACTGTCAGTGTCGGTTGCCACCAGAATAGCCGAGAGGGAATACGACGAAGGGCCCCGGTCGACGCCGGTCTAGACCACTGGTTTCACGAGTCCCAAACGGGAATAGTCAATGTTCAGGGCGATAGTCTAATTTTTTCAGTTTGGGGCTCGTGTGAGCCGCCGTTTTGGCCTATCAAATAATTTAAAAAAATACCGGAGATGACGAACACTTACTGTCTTTGAGGTTTATTGAGAGGAGACAAGGTAGCACAAAAAAGGTAGTATGAAAAAAAAAGACTGATACACCGCTAAAAGGGGGCATCAATCAACCCTGTAGACACTACCCAGTTACATGAAAATAATGATATAAACAGCGTATGTTTGATGTCGACGTCAGGGCTTGTCAGGGTCCATTGAAAATTGATACACACGATGAAACTGAGATACACCCGACGCCGGCAAAGATGACACACGACGTCAAACAAGATGCCGGTTTCACCACCGCCACGGCGCTGGTATGAGCGGGACTACCACAATAGACATAAGACAATGGCTCTAGGTGCCGTGTGGGCAATGCAATTCAATTGTAGCACAAAAGAGCCCCAGCCGTTGGCAATTGGAGCCGGTGGCTAGACGAGAGGGGTCGTACTGCATATAAGCACGACTTCCAATACCGGTGGCGACAATACCACCTACAACTCTTAGAACTTATCTTTCCCATTTGTTCCATTAGACTATATACACGTGTTTGTTACATTACCCCTGTTTCAGTTTTTATCCTTGGCTTCGTACTCTTGTTTCAACTTTTCAATTTCCGAATCAGAAAGCGGCGGGATGGGGATATCGCTAAACTCGTCCTTGGAAAGCTGCTGCCACGTGTAGTAGTACACCGCCAACGGGATAGCGCTGAAGATGGCGAGGCCGATCATGTTCTTCTTGAAGAACGGCGCCCGCACCCGGTACAACGCCGGGGTCATCTGGTGGGTCACGGGGTCTCTGTAACGTGTCTGCCCTCTCCTGTTTTAGTTAGTATGATGAAACAATAGATCTGAAACAGCTTTTGAAACAGCCTATGAAACAAGCCTGAAACGCCACTTACGGAGCACCAATAAATCTACCCATGGTCGATGGTATCGGGGAATGAAAATGAAGGGTGGGTGTGGTAAGGCCACCCTTGCGCGCGCACTACGAAAAAACAACGAAATGTCGGAAACCAACTACCGGCCCTTCCGTCACGCGATAGTGTCGTCAATGACGGAAGCTTGTTACGTTAGCTCACCACCCAGGGCAACGCCAATCGGGCTAAGCCTATCGGGGCCATACGAGCAGTACGAGCCGTTTGGGCGCTGGCGGCAAACCACACGTGCGCCCCTGCTCGTATTCGCCTGCCGGCGGCTCCAGCAGCTCCGACTCCGCTCCGCTAACCTTGTTCACCGTTTAAGTAGTACCATCCGCTTACATAACCAAACACACCCTACGTATACACACTCTGTACCCCGGCGCCGCCGCAGGCGCTTAAGGCGCTCGGCGCCCGGCGCCCAAAGCGCTCGGCAAGCGCCACTAAAGCTTACGTTTTGTGGCCACTTGCCAACCAACTAAGCGGCAGGTCCAACCAACCTTTTTCACGCCCTCCTCGGGTGACCGGGAAAGAAAATGCTTAGCGCCTCCACACCGATGCTCAGGGCGTTAAATGGGGCCCCGTGTGGCTTCGGCGGCATTAATGGGAGGGCGCTAATGCCGCTAATAGCGCCGAAATGGCGCTCGTCGCCAGCGCTCGTCGCCAGCGCTCGTCGCCAGCGCTCGTTCGCCGCTCGTCGCCTATAAGAGCCCCAATTATCTAAGCACCACCCCATAGCCACCCGCCACCCGCCATTGGCCCAGCAGTCACCGGCGTACGGTGACACAAAGCCCGAACGGTGTCGGCGTTTGCACACAGGTTAGAGCGCCCCTGGCGGGTGGGGTGATTGGCCTGCGTTTTGTGCGGGCGGGATTAACGCCGTTGGTATTGTCGTGGCGCCCCTGGTTTAAGCGGGAGCGCCTTAGTTAGACGGTACCCTGCGTTGGCGATAGTCATCGCCCGCGTCCAGTTGCCAACGACAACCTGACGCAAATGGTGAGACACTTGGTGATACTTATTGTGAAACACTTGGTGATACCGATTGTGAAACGAGATAAGTGGCGAGTAAATACCACCAGTGTCAGAAAAAAATTTACACCCACAATATTTGTACTCGTTTTCCAAACTTGTAAGTTGTATTTGTGGGTGTTTGAGGCTTAGCAGGCCGTGGCGAGTGCTAGTACAAGGAATAGTCATCACTCTCAATGGATAGGTTTCTATTTTGACGGAAAGTTTTCATTAATATTGAATAGCTAGCAGTCACCATGGATAGCCATCAAGTATAATGAAGTGTTAACATTCATAGCGAATACTTAACATTTTTGAAGGGTGCTTGACAGATCATCATCGCCAGCCATGACAAATTGCTGGTGACAGCCACAAATCAAACCACGACACGGAGATTTAGTAAACAGCTTTGTCGTACCATACGATATTATTACCAGTTGCTTCAAAGAAAAACTTGCTTCCTTAACAAGTATAGGCTCACAATGAGTAACTTCTATTATATTTACCAATGACTCTTTGAAGAAATTATCATCAGTTTTAGCATTTGTCTCAAAACTTTACGACAAATGTCATTCATTCTTTGAAAGCCAGCAAAGAGTATTGTTCGTTATCTAAGTCTGGCAAAATCTATCTAGAATCCTTTGAAAATTGGCAAAGCATCAAGAAGTCTTTGTTTCTACTTGTTTGAGGTTGCCAAAAATGTTTCTACTTCTTTGGAATTTTCGCAAAAAGTGTTTATAATTCTATGAAAATGTTAATAATGGGTGAGGCGCCATAACGTTACTCTCGCTTGTTCGTTAGCGATGGCAAGCATCGAGTTATCGGGAGCAAACTTGACTGCCGTCACTTTACCTAAGGGGGTGCCCAGCGTCGGCCAGTTCGGGAATACCCGAGCCAGCGGCAAATGGACTATTCGTAAAAGGTCACGCTTACCTCTCAGGGCAATCACTAACATTTGCCCGTCAGGCAGGAATTCGAGGGTCAGGATCGGATACACGATATTGCCCACCGCTTTGATCGGGGTGGGTGCCAGTCCCGAGTCAACGGCCGCCTCAAGCTTCACTCGGTCATAGATATTGACAATCCCCAGCTGAGTGCCCACGGCCACCCACCGGTCATTAGTACCCCCGTAGCTGACACAGGTCACGTGGACACCATCGTCGTGCCATTTGCGGACGGGTTGGTTGATGTTTACCCCCTTTGCCCCCGCGGCTTGATCAAGGGCAAATTCGTACATATCACCGGCAGTAGAGGCAATAAGCACTCTCAGATCGTCGCTAGTGAATGCTAAATCACCGACAGTGCCTTCAACTTTCAATCCCCGCGCCCACTGGCCCAGCGGGTTGAGTAAATTGCACCATCCTTCATCGCCCTTTAAACCGATGAAACGGCCTCGGGGCAGCACTTTAAAGTGCTCAAACAGCAGCTGGTGGGCGTCAGCACCGTAAAGTCTCAGGATCTTCTCCACTTCGCCCAGGGTGACGTCCCACTTGTTCATATACTTGCGACGACCACCGGCGTAGATTGTCGTCGAATCAGCTAACGGAGCAAACTGACACAGGGCAATCGGTGTATGTTTGAAGAAGACAGAAGTAACAAACGGGTTCTGGGCGCCGTCAATGTGGTATATCCGCACGGTACGGTCAAAACCTGCCGTGAGCAAAAGCGGGTGTTTTGGGTGGAAATCGACCGCCTGGATCGAACCCTTGGCACGACGAGCCCCGTTGGCATCTTTTAAGCGAGTGATGCCCAAGTGGTTGGCCAGCATGAGCTTGGTTTTCCCCTTTTGGAGGTACAGCACCAGCAGGGCCAAGACGGCGGCCAAATCGCGTGATTTCAGCTGAGTAGCATCAACTTCTTGGTCCAGCAGATTGTCGTCGCCATTATCTTTCTCCCAGTCGTCGACCCACGCCGGTTTGGGGTAGATCCGCTCGAATTGGGCTCGGAGTCGGTGGACGTAGCTGTGGCCGCGAATGACGTCGTCCCCTTCGTATTTGCGGAGTTTTTTCAATTTCGCCAGCTTAGTCAAGCTGACAGTGACCTCGTCGTCGTCGGAGTCGTTCCAGGCGTCGTCAGAACCGGCGGTATCGTCGTCATCGCTATCAATCTCCATATCGTCGTTGACGGCGACCCCTTCGTCGTCGATGACAAACAAGTCGTCGTCCTGGAGCATCTCGTCGTCATCGTCGTCGCTAGCATCGTCCAGGTCGCTGGAGTAGCCGTCGTCGGCGTCGGCGGCGTCGTGGTAGAGCAGGTCCACTTTGGCCAAGTTGGCATGGAACCCGTCGGTGTCGCCAAACACCAACCGCGTGAGCTCGATCTCCTCGGCGTCGGGCGCCGCCACCGTTCTCTCGTGGTCAGCAGCCATATATGACGGGATAATGTGTGGTTAGGTTTGGGATGGAGTCGTAAGCCGTGGTGCGATGGGCGCGCGATGCGATGAGCAGAGTAGGGGAGACGATAACGATAATTAGAAATTTAGAGATACAAGAATCAGGTGATTACGGTTTCAGATATTTACAAGAATCAGGTGATTACGGTTTCAGATATTTGGTTCACTATTGATCATTTAATTAAGTTTGATTGAAGCTCATCAAGGTAATCACAGAATACACTCTAGCGACATAAGTAGTAGCCAAATAGAGTAAGTGCGAGGGAAGCAATCAGTTTCCATCACTAGTATCACTACAAGAGTTCACATCCAGCTTTATAAAAGTACTATAGAAGCGTCACCAGTAGCTATGACCACAACTAAGACATCTACTCTTGACTACTACTAACTTGTCAGTATTTATCTCAAGAGGTACGATGACATTGAATCTACCGTGACTTACATCAAAGTAAATGGTCGTTGATTGGTTGTGGCATCAACGGCTACCACCTTCTACTTTGGCTAGTAGTTAAGACATTGGACATGAGAGCATGCCATCATTAAATATCGTAAGATATAGGTTTAGCATCAAGGTTTGTCTCTTTAAGGAGCATGCCCATATTAATTGGAAATATAGAAAGAAGACTAGGAAACCCAAAGCGAATTGCATGGGTACTGCTGATTTCTCCTCCATATCCTCGTACCCCTACTGCACTTCTTTATGATTGGTGTTTTACCTATATGCTACACCACGTCTATATGCACCATGAAATTTTATAGTCGTCTTCGTCCATCACTTTAACTGACGGACAAAGGTGACAAAGTATTTTTTGAACCCCTTGACGTCGCTCTTGGCCAAGTTGACACACAAGTCGTCCGTGTACTCCAGGGGCAACCCCATCGTCGCCAAGTAGTTGCGCAAGTACCCCAAGTAGTCGTCGCCGCGCTTGTCATACATCAGCTTGAGCAAGAACGCGATCTCCTGGGCGACGAGCCGGTGCTGGGCGTCGTCGGCGTTGAAGCTAGCCAGGAACGGCACCTCAAACGAAAGCAGCGTCACTCGCTCGGTCAAAAACTGGTCGATGCCGTCGAGGGGAGGCACCAGCGCCGCGCCCGGGTCGAGCTTATCGTCGAGCGCGCCGCCGGCGCCACCAAAGATCTGGACCAAGTTGGCCAACTGAGTAACCGCCATCTTGGCGGTGTTGCCGTCGCCGGCGACGTCGCGGGCCCACTCCAAAAGCGCGTCAAGCACCACGGGGAACTGCTGCTTGTTCAGCTCCAGCACCAACAACAGCGCCTGGTGGTTGAGCACGAGCCCTGAAAGCAACAGAATCAACAGCCGCTTGAGGGTGTGCTTGTCGCGGTGGACGTCGGCGATGAGGGCGTCGTCGTCGCTCGTTTTTGCCATCAGCAACACTTTGGCGAATACCGGAGAAAGCACGTTATTAAGCAACGAGTAGAGCTCGGGGTTCTTCTTGAACGCGTGCGATAACTGGCCCAAGAACAGCAAAAAGTCCGCAAGCTCCAAAAGCTCGAGGTCAGGAGCACCGACGATCACCGCCACCAATTTCAGCAAAGGAGCGGTAATCTGGCCGCGTAAGATGGGTAATAGCCGCGAGAACGTCATTCTAGCGGCATTACGCACCCCTTGGTGTTTCGGCATCCGTTCCAACGTGATGGTGATCGCCAGCGCCGCGTCGCCAAACTTGGCGATGACGCTTTCCGGCGCCTCATTTTCGCCGTCATCATACCCTTTAGCGACGGTGCCGATGGCGACGATATCGTCCTGAGCCTGGAGCATCGCCAAGTCGTCGCCCCTAGTCACCGCAGCTTCTAAGTCGGCGAATAATGGCGACAAAATGTGGTTGAGCAACGCCACCTTTTCCAGCTCCTGGTGGCTGCCGAGAAGCGCGGCAAGAAGCGCCACCAGCTCCAAGAGGTAGAGCTGGCCCGAAAGCTCCAGATTGACCTCGTTTTCCTCCAAGGGGCGGGCCTCGATTTTGAGAAGGGGCAGCAATTTCACCGTCAACTCTTCGACAAACAGCGCCGTGACCCCGGTGGGTTTAGTGGTTTTGAGGAACCGGTAGAAGCAGTACCACGCTCGCAATCTCACTTTAGAGTCGCCGGAAAACACGGCGACATCCAGCATAAAGATCTCGAGGACCCTTGTGATAAGCCCCGGCCGTTCTTTGGGCAGGGGATGCAAAAAGGCGAAATGTTTCACCACGATATCGAAAAACGCCAACTGCACTTTCGGGTGGCGCAATTGGACGATGACGTCCAGGTGGATTAAGCGCACCATAAACTCGCGGTAAGTGAAATACGCCGGCAGCTCGGTCACGGTGGCGAGCCCGAGGCCGTTCGTCCGGAGCAGGTCGCCGTAGTTCGTCAACTGGTAGAGGCCAAGCTCCGCTTTGCGCCAGTCGTCGTGCAGGGCAAACAACAGCTCGTTGATGACGATGGGCAACGCCTCGATGTAGAGGTCGGGCAGGATCATCGCGATCAGGTCCTGGAACGTCTTGAGGCGCTTTCTCACTTCGTGGAAGAGGCCGTCGTCGTCGCTGTCGCCGTCGTCGTCGTCGTCGTACTTCATTTTGAGCACCACTTTGTTTAGAAGCTCCAGAAGTAACTGACGGTCTTGGAGGGCCGGCTGTTTCTTGGCCAGAACCAAAAACGCCTGGATGAAGGGGAATACTTGTTGGGTGACGTCGTCGTACTCATGCCCTAAGAGGAAAAGCGCAAGTGGCCACATCTTGTATAGGTGCGGCTGCACCTGGTCGATGAGGTCGGGCAGCGTGTCGATGCAGCCGACAAGTTCTAGCCCCATCTGATTAATAAGACGGGCCAAGTTCTCCATAAACGTCACGTCCTGGTTATCGTCAACGCCGATCAGATTAAGAGTAGTGGTTAAATCAAGCATCGCTACCAACTCCAATTTGGCCGTGGGTTTCATCTTCTTGGCCACAATCTCCGAGACACACACGCAGCACTGATTACGGGCGGAGTGGACTCTAAGATAGCCAAAGATCGTCGTCACCACCTCGGGTTTAACAAACAACGAGATCTCCATCCACAGCACGTACAGCCCCACGAGATCCAAAGTGTTGACGATGATATCGTCGCTCCAGCGGTCAGGCCCGCCCTGGAGGATCTCGTGCCACAGCGCCACCAACCGGTCCATATCCATGGTTCTGATCTGGTCTTTCACCGCTCCGATAAGCTCCTGGTTCGGTCGCAGCCGCAGAATAAATTTGTCGCCGATTTCGGTGTGGATGGCAAGCAACGTCCGCGTGTAGTAGTCGACGGCTCTGGGTTTTCCCGTGGCGTACACTTCGAGCCAATCACTCAAAAACTGCGGGTACAGCTGGAGGTAGAGCTTGAGGAACAAGTCGGCAAACAACAGCGCCAATTTGTTCTTCAAATAGGCGGGGTCTTCGCTGGCAAGCTCGAGCCGCTGGGCGAGGTGGGCCCGGAGGGTATGGTACAATTTGAGCAAGGCGGCGGCGTCGAGCTGCTCGAGGTGGCTCTCCAACACCTGGTAGACAAAGAACTGGAGGGGCATCGGCGCCTCCGGTTGCGAGAGGATGCCGACGGCGGCGGCGTAGCCCTCGGCCAGCAGTTTCACTTCCTCGCAGTACGCCATCGCCTGCTGCTTGAGGTGGGGGTCCAGCGTGCCCAGGAGGGCGATCTCGACCGCCTGCTGTAGCTGGGACTCCATAGCGCTTTAAGGGCTTCTGCGCTGGGGTCTTTTGTAGAGAGGGTGTGTGGGTGGATCAGACGCTGGGGTGGCGAGAAAAAATGCGATGAGACCGGGAGAGAGGGGGTAAAAGGGGGGGTCAAACGGGGCCAAATCGGAGTCGAGAGGTGTCAGATAGCAACTAAAATGGACAAAGAAACGGGTGGGAATGAGGTTTGAGCGATAGAATGAGGTGTTGGTCGTGTTTTAGGGCTATTTTGGGGGGACTGGGGGAGTGAAAAATTGTTATACTAAGGGAAAAAAACAACAATGAGTGCGCGCGTGCCAAATTTACCACTCGCACGAGACAAACGAGAGCACGTTTGATAAGAAAAAAGACGGTAGCTTAACACTATAAATCTAATATGATAGACTTCGTATAAAGTATAGCAATGGAATTTTTATTTCTTTTATAATCTAGTTTTTTTTTTTAGGTTTCTCATAGGCATTGATGTATTCCTTCATTTTGTGAAATTTACGCTAGAGATGAGACATCGTATCGCCATCACCGAAAAATGTATCACTGTCAAAAAATGAATCAAGTACTGTGAGGTACAGAGATTGACAAAGTATTAACAATTGGGATGATTTATGAGACTTTATTAAAATTAGAATAGAGTCTTGTAACAAGGAACAGCAAATTAGACATTATTTGAAAGGTAAGGCTATTGAAAGACCTAGTAATCACAGGTTTACTAATAAATGACACCTATCAATGTTTCAGTGTAAGTGTCAGTCGATTGTTTCAGATCTCAAACACAATGCACTCCCTTTCTGATCAATGCTAGAGAGAGTACACACTGTTTATTTTTTTTTTTGACGAGCTAACTTCGTTCATAAATTCGACGCGTCAACCGTCGTCTCGTCTACTACCATTACTGAATTGTGAGCCCTGACACACCACTGCAGCGCCTGAGCCCGGCTTATGTCCGGAGCCACCCCCCGATTAAGGCGGCGCCTAACGTTATCAATACCCGCAAACACGGCGCTAGCCTCCACCACCCCCTCTCACTAGCAAAACAACCCCCAAAACAATACCAATAACCCCAATTCTTCGAGCGTAAACCACCCCTAATAGACGCATTGTCGTCGTCTCGCTTCGGGGCTCGTCTCGGGGGTTTCGCGCTCGTCTCGGCTGCAGGGCTCGGGCGAAAGCCCCAAATCGAGCCTAGGTTAATACTAACCCCCCACCCCCCTCGCGCGCGGTGATCAATTGTTGACCCCGACAACAATCCTCTAACTCCCCTTAAAGGACTGACGTTGACAGCGCCGTTTGTGAAGCAATGACGACGAACGCACCGTCGCCCCAGCGACGAACTGCGCCCGCGCCAGCGCTGGCGTATACCGCCAGCGACGCCGGCGCCGATAGCGCCTATAAGCCGCCGGCGCCCATGGCGCCCGTGGCAGCGCCCATGACAGCGCCCACAGCGGCGCCCACGGCGGCGCCAATGGCGCCCATGGCGCAAACCTATGACGTCGATTACACCCTCAGAAACCGAGGCAACGACGACGAATTGGCGCCGACAGTGCCCCGCGAGCCCGCGATCGGTGCCAACTTGCCCCCCCATTTCGACTACTCGTTCCAGCCGCCAATGGCGGTGATGGCGACCCCTGTGTACCCCCAGTACTCGCTGATCTATGACGCGGCGCCGGCGCCGGTGTACTACTACGCCAACGACGGCGCCGAGGCGATGCGTGGAGGGTGGGACCCGGCGCCGGCGCCGGGCCCAGCGCCCCACAGCAATGTCCCCTACCAAGCCCAAGTGCCGCCAGCGCCGCAAGCAACAGTGCCAGGCCCGCCAGTGTCAGCGCCAGTGTCGGCGCCAGGGCGCCCCGTTCACGACGCCGCGCCCCGAGACCCTGATACCAGCGGTCAGGCGCAACCGCCAGCGCTGACGGGCGCCAATGACAGTAGTCTCAGCGCTGGCGCCGGGGCGCCGGCGCTGCCGCCGCTGGCCGCGAGCTCGGCGCTGGCGTCGCTGCTGCTGCTGCTGGCGCTGGAGGCGCCGTCGCTCGCTAATTCGCTGGCGCTGCTGATAGCGCTGCTGGCGCTGGCGCCCGCCACTTTAGTCGGCACCACCACCATGGTCAACCTGAACCCCGAGTACGCGGCGCCCGTCGTCGACGCCGTGTTTGTCGACCCGCGCCTGTGCACGGTGTGCGGGCGGCGCATACTCCGCGACATGGCGCGCCACATGCGCACCCATCAGGAGACGCCGCGGTTCGTGTGTATGTTTCACACCATGGGCAAGTGCACCCACAAGCTGGGGCGGTTTAACCGTCCTTACGACTTTAAGAAACACTTGCTTAATCGTCATTTCAAATTTGATGACCCTAAGATCAAACAGATGCACAATTTGAGTGATAAATTGGACCATTTCGGCGAGTGCGGGTGTGGGTTTAAGGGAGATGGTAAGCGGTGGTTAGATGACCACATGTTGACTCTGAAACCGACGAGGTGTAGCATGTTGCTGTAGCCCTCAGAGAGCCCGCCAGGGCTCGAGAGGGTGTGAAACGAGTCTCAAATAGCCCAAAAGGGCCTGAGACCGACATGGTCTGAGACTGATATGGCCTGACTAGAAGCTAACACCTATAAGACCCAGTGGTCGCCCCGTGATACCTAGTATCAATTTGTTATACCCAGATGACTTATGGTCAACTGTGATACTTAGTGTCAAACCCGTGATACCTAAAATGACCCCTTAATGAACAGACAATGGCGAAATTAAAAAGAATTAACACCTTCACTATAGGCCTGATGCCATCTCATTTTGAGCAAAAGCTGAGTCTGCCTTGTGATTTTATCAATATTTTGTGGTTCTACCAATCCAAAAGGATAACTTAATGTTTAGCTTCAGTGTTGGATACTTTAACGCTGCTTTTAGGGTTTACTTTGATGGAGCCGTCCATTAGGAAATAGCGTATCATTGGTATCAACTCTAATAATTGTCTAGCGCAATAAGCAGTCAGTTTATCATGATATCTAATTGATGTTAGTGTTTTCCCGGTACTTCTGAGTCTAGCCATTTTCATTTAATTAAAGAGAATCAGGAGTTCTCCGACTGAAACCACCAATAACTCTGACCATTTTATAACCCTGACCACTAATCAGCCCTGATTGACTCAACGAACTTTCAAACGATCAATTATACTCTACCACACTCGAATTATTATCTTTGACTAAACATCAGTGCTGCAAACATCAGTGCTGCAAAAACACCAACTCAAAGTGTATCAGATCACAAAAGTCACAGTAATAGGTTATTTATTTTGTAAGGCTAATTACAGCGTCTAATCGAGGATGGCGTATTTCTTCAAGTGGTCGGGGATAGCGTCGTACAACCCCTTATCCTTTAAGAACAGTTTCGAGAACATCTTGTGGACGTACTTGTGGGCCGAATCGGGGAGCAACGTCACCACATTCAGCCCTTCCGGTAAGTCCTGAGCCACTTTGACAGCAGCAGCGACGTTGAGACCGCCGGTACCGCCAATGTATAACCCTTCTTCGTCCAATAACCGGTAGGCCATGACGATAGAGTCTTCATCAGGCACTTGGATAGCATCGTCAACAAGGTCAAGGTCAGCGCCTAAGTTGTTAGTGATACGCCCTTGGCCAATCCCTTCGGTAAACGACAGCCCTTCCAGCTTTAATTCCCCCGTTTTAATGAACGAGTAGATAGCGGCCCCAGGAGGGTCAGCCAACACACACATGGTGTTGCCGTTGCTGATATTTTTCAAGTAGTGGGTGATACCGGCGAACGTACCTCCGGTACCGGTAGCACAGGTGAAGGCGTCGACTTTGCCGTCCAATTGGGCCCAGATTTCCGGGCCCGTCGTCTCCAAATGGGCCTGGCGGTTGGCCAAGTTGTCGAACTGGTCCGTCCACACGGCGTTGTCCATTTGCTCGGCGTGGCGCTTGGCCTGGTGGTTGAAATTCATCGGGTCCGAGAACGGCACCACCGGCACCGGGTGCACTTCGGCCCCCAACAACCGCAACGTGTCCATCTTCGCCTGAGACTGGGTGTTGGGCATGTAGATGACGCACTGGTAGCCACGAGCGCGGCAGATGTGGGCGAGGCCGATCCCGGTGTTACCCGCCGTCCCCTCGACGACGGTGCCGCCCGGGCCAATAAGCCCTTTCTCTTCGGCGTCTTTAACCACGTATAATGCCGCTCTATCTTTAATCAGCCCCCCGGGGTTCATATACTCGGCTTTGGCGTAGATGTTGCGTCCCACCGACGCCGAGATCCGCGGCAACTTGAGCAACGGGGTGTTGCCGATGGCGCCGGCGAAGCCCGTGTCGGCGACCAAGGGGACGAACGGCGGCTTGAACGTGTTTTTGGTAATGCTGATGGAGCGGATCGCCTGGCGGGAGGGAGACATCGGCGGTGGTGGTATTTGGTATGGGGTGGGTGAAATTTATCAGCCGGGTGCGGCCCGGTGCCAGCGACGATGGTTAGGTCACGTGACATTGACAAACCAATGTAAACAACGATATACCCACGGAACAACAACCACGACAAGCCTCGACGATCTCTTAGGATATGATTAAACCTCAGTGATGGCAGTAGTGGATTGATAGCTTCAATTGCCTGTTAAGCGAGGGATGGTGTCCATGGCGGCTTAAATGGGAGGCAAGCCGTAAACAACCGTAATTCAACACGTAGACATGATCAATTGGAGTCATTGACAACAACAGAAGGAAACAAACAATTGTAGGAGTCACGCCAGCTGCGTATGCCAGTGGTGGAAGCGTTAGGATAGCCCTTGAATTGAGTAAATCATCACCACTTCATACCCTGCTCAAAGTGCGACGTAACAAATATTACGCTACTGAAAAATGCGACTTAGCAAAATTTACACCGCGATAAGAATTTCCCTGTGCGACACTAACAGTATTGGGACTATGGACAAACGACTGGAACATTGGTCTTTGCAATCAGTCTCTTGAGTTTTTTGATGACTACTCTTTTATCTTTGGTGACTGGTAAACCTATTTAAGTGATTAGGCTACGGTTGTGAGGGCTCCTGGAGCTGTTAGGTGGATGTCTTACTGGCACTAGGACTGTTATGGTCAAGGTCACGTGCACGAAGCGATGGCGATGATGATAATAAACCAGAGATGGAAATTGGACGTACGAGCGTGCTGGTGGGGTCACGTGGTTGCTGGTCTTCAATCTTCCTTTTCGGGGTTAGCGGTGGGACCCCGGGTGTACTCTGAAACTGATCGCTGGTTACAGACGCTGCGGAGGATCCCGTCGTCAACTGGGGGAATGCACCTGGCAACCGCTATCTCGCATGGTGTGGTAGTAATTTATGCGGACCAGGGCTACGAACCAAAAATGCTCCCTCTCTCGACGCCGTTACTGCTGGCTCGCCATCCCTCCCATCTCGACGACTATAGGATGGCTTACCCTTAGATTGTACCAACAATGCCACTACCATTATTGCTCTCTTTAATTCTCTCGTATTGCCCTTGTTTCAGTTTTTTTATTTCTGTTACACGTATTGATATTTTTTCTGTTGTGGTGTCGTCGCCCCGACCCTGAAGTGCTCCCTCCAGCAGGTCTCCAGCAGGCATTTTTTTTTTTTTATTTTCGGGTTGGATAATATCGGGTCGCAGATGGTGTGGGTGTGTATCAGGTGGATCGAAGAGGCAACTGACGACGGGCGTCGATAGTCGTCAACAGCGACGCCAACGACGACGAAACAACGTTTCATATGTGAAACCACCACCAAAACTTTACTAATAGCTATTTCGATAATACAAAGGTCACGTAGTTGAAACTTGCACGTTGTTTCAGACTAATAATATTGTCGACCTGGTCGTCAACGTCGTCATCGTTGAGGGGTATCGTGGGTAGTTAATTGGTCTCAGGGCCCCGTAACCTACTTAATAAGCTCACGTGACTACATTCTCGAAGGACAAGACTGCTACACCCACTAGATGGTGGCTCATGGCTGGTCAGCCCACGGTGAAACACATTCTGAAACGACGATTTCTCGTACCTCCCGGTATCACCTGACGTTTACTTTCCCCGTCACGGGTGTCGTGGGGCGGTTGTCAAGACCACTCAGCCCCACGCGCACCCCTCAGTGTTTCATCTCCGGCTGCTCCCCTTACCGGGGAGGGTGCCAGCAGCAGCAGCATGATCACCTTCGTCGCAAGCCAGGGGTACACCACACCACCGACGTTAACCACCACGTTATCCCACGCCATACCAAAGCCTCCTCCCCCACCCTCGAGGCAAAGGCAGGGTCACCCCATCCACCATCACCACCCTATCAGCCGACGTATGTTTCAGATATGGCAGTGACACCCGTCCCCCCCTGTTTTGGGGCACCAGCCACTGGTGGCCGGCTGCCGGTTTTAGTGGCCTTTCCCCCCCGTCGCGTGGACAATCGCAGAGATAATAATAAATAAATCGCCGTATTGATTGCGAAGGCCCTTCGCCATGTCGATCCCGACCCTAGTGTCAGTGCAACCAATAATCTCGCGTATTTTTTAACCCCGCGGGCTCGCCACAAAAAGAAAAGACCCTAATAATAATAAATCTTAGAAAAATAAAATTTATTACGACGCATCAGGTGGTGGTTTGTTCGCCATCGGTTACAATTATTTTCATG